CTCAAGATGACCTCATATATTTAGTGAAGGAGAGGGAAGATTCGACCCTTATAAAAATGACACTACTCCTTTTGTTCAGTCCATATGAGAAGCTGAGCCCCCTGCGTAAGTTCACTCCTCCATCATTTGAGTTGTATGATGGTAAAGTCCGATCCCGTGCTCCACATATGGGTCTTTACTAATAAGATTACCATCTGGACGAGTAACGAGATGTTGATGTGTAAGATGTTTCCCCTAGCTTGGGGAGATTAGCTCTTAAGTGGTTTTATGGGATGCAATTGTGAACTCGGTCTTCTCTTGGGAACAAGTCGCTGGGGAGTTCGGCTCTCAATTCATAGCCAATAGTCGAGACTTGATAACAATTGACACACTCTTGGCATTACGCAAGAAACGTGGAGAGACTCTCTGTGAGTATACCATGAGGTACTTGGAAATCTATATCGACATATAAGAGTGCGATGACAAGACCACCACTGTCTCTTTCTGTTTGGGCCTCCCCCAAGGAAAGCAAATTGAGGAAGTACCTCACCATGTGGCCGACCTGGAGTATGTTACACTTGTAGGGGCATATCAAGAGGTACATGAAGGTGGATGACGATAAAGGACCAGTTGATAGGCTACCGTCTTCTCCAAAGAAGAACCAGATGGAGGAAGATAACACTTTAAACCCATCAAGGAGAGACGGGTCATTCAAGGAAATGAGAGACTCTTACCAAGGAGCCAACACTTTCTTAAAGGAACCTATCTATCAAGTTTTGAACCAAATCAAAGATAAAGAGTATTTTAGGTGGTTAACAAAGATGATAGGAGATCCATTAAAGCGGGACTAAAATGCTTGGCTCTCAGAAGTGGATTAAATTTCAAAGGTTTCCTAAGTATAGGAATGTATTGTGCTTGTAACTCGGTCGATTGCCGAAGTCGTCTCTTTAGGGAAAACGAATAGTTCAAAGGGTGATAGGCAAAGAAGAAAATAAAACTCTGAATTTTTGGAAGATTGGTTATAGAATTTATCAACTAAGATATAACAATTAAAGAAAAGACTAGTTAATCGACAAATTTCATCTCACCATGAATAGGTATTTTGACCCAAATTTCATCTCCCATCAGAAGAAAGGGGAAAGTGATGTGTACATAAATATTCTCAATCAAAACTAGAAAAAAAATGAGGAAATAAAGAAATACAACAAATTCAAACAAGTGGGTAAGCACTAGCAGTGTTCGTGAAAGCAAACACTACAAAAAATGACTATTAACAAACTTTGATGGCCTTATGAACATGTCTTTAGCCCTCACTTCCTCTATCATGAGAATTTGAAATTTTGAACTGTAGTCAGCTACTTACTTCTTACTGTATGCCAAAGTTATCTTTCTTTCCCTTTATTTTTCTACTACCCTTTACACTATTTGCTCGGTTGTCACTTGCTGAGACCTTTTGTTGAGCCTTGGGAAATTTAATTCTCACATCAACTTCAAATCATACCATAATTTGGTATATTGTTGACTTCCCTAAAGGAATTATCCGATCTAGTATTAAGAATCAACTTTCAGTAACAAAGATTCTGTAATGCAATCAATCAGCTCCTTGGTGTATCAAATTCTTATATCACCCTCTGTACAGGACAATGTTGATCAAAGGTATTGTGTCTCAATCTCCTTCTACTAGTGCCAATGCCCGAGGTGATTGGAGAATTCTCACGAATTGGAGGAGTTGACGACAAATTTGGAGAGATGTCTGACTTACCAGTATTAGATTTTCCCACTGGCATTTTTAGCATAAGGCCATAACAGGAAAATACATGCTCCTGTCGAAGGGCAATATAATGAGACACAGTCAGACATAACTAAGACAAGCAATAATAGTTTTGCTATTAAATTGTCAAAGACTCAGTATTAAGAAACTCACTTTTTCTGGAGGACCCCAAGATGTAATTACACTAATCTTCGACTCCATTGATGCTTTTGTCAATTGATCTTCACAAGCTGCTAGGACAGCTGCTGCAGCAATAATCGATGGTTGATGTTCCGTCAAATTAATCTCTGCATCAAACCGGACAATTGATAAACAAGTGTATTATGTCCAATACCTTATTGAAATAAATCCTCGTTAAATTATATTTACCTTTTGCTAGAGCCATAATGAGTTCAGTAGCTTTGGAGATCAATTCTTTTCGTCCAGAATCACCACAGAACTTGATAGCAAAATAGAGGAGATAATCAAAAGGGATGGTTGGACCCATCCATCCCAGTGCATCCAGCACCATTAGTTCCATTTTCTTAACCGCACTGTCTTCAAAGTTGTGATCATCAACGTGATATTCGGATAATGGCGGTACGTTAAGCTCCTCCATTTTCGCAGCCAACGATAAACAGGCCACCGATTATAATCGAACACTCCATATTTTCCCATTCTATCAAGATGAATGACAACATTCCCAAATCACAAGAAGTACACAATCAGAATTATATACAATGTATAGGTTTATACAAGAAGAGATGCTTACCTCTATAACACACCTTGAAAAGAACCGATCAAAGTACTTTAATGACAGATATACTGTACGGAAGTGAAAACCGAAGAATGCTCTAGACTGCATCGAAATGTAGAAATTCTTGAAACCTCAAGAAAAATATAAGACAGAACACAATGTATATACATACAGAAAGAAATGCATACATATATATATATATATATATATAGAGAGAGAGAGAGAGAGAACAAACTTCAAGAATCCATTTGATGGCATCCAAGCGAGAAAATTTCAACCAATTTGGGTAACTCGTAAAAGAACAATTAGTGGAAGATACAGAGCTAATTGGCTCAACAGTGGTCTCTTTCTGGATTAGCTGTTGCATATACTCATCATCAGATTCGGAGATAGAACATGGGTTAAAGTCTATATCTTTGTCTTCTTGGCACAAAGGGCTAAAGGAAAACGGAGTCTTAGAATCACTCATATTGCTTCTTTCCCTAGTCTCTGCATCTACCAAGCAAACTCTAAGCAACCAAGAAAAGGGTATTTGAATTTTGAAGATTTTAACTGCTGAATCTAAGGAAATCGTTTAGAAAATATTCAAAACAACAGTGATACTACGCGCCAAGGTGATGTGATATCACAAATTAATAATACTAGAATATATATGCAGATAAACCCTTCAAAAATTAATAACTAACATATCATATAAGCAAATAACTTTTTACTCTTCTGTCATGTAAGTTCAAGTTAGGTTCACTTTTCTTATTTGAAAATTTATTATTAATTAATAATACTATGTCATCAATGGTGACATGATATCACCGTTGCATTCAATATTTACTCAAAATCAAGAGGAGGCGTGAAAGAAAAAGAGTACGGGGCCAAATGCAAAACCATTATAACATGTCATCATGTAAATATAGTCTAATCATTCAATAATAAGATACCATGTCAACAAGTAGATCTTATATATTTTAGTAACTATTATGTCATGTCATTTAATAACCACCCTAAGTGAGGTTTAAAAACAGACCATCCATATCGAGATTATGTTATTCATTTGGAATAAATCAATCTGAGCTTGATCTCAAAATATTGTCAAATTTAAATTAGGGGCGGCCCAAGGCAAAGCGGAATCCTAGGCAAAAACTTTATGCGGAGCCCTTTTAATATTTTTTTTATTAATATATACTATTCTAATTTATTTATTTATTTAAAAAAAAATATTTTTTGAAATAAAAAAATATTGATTAAGTTTTTATATTCAAATTTAGAAAATAAATCTTTCTCACTAGATGATATGGTTAATTTATCGAATCTTAGTTGAAAGTAAATACGATTTTATCAATTTAAATTTTTAACAAATAATTTAGTGATAAAATATGTGAGTAAAAAATAATTTTAATACAACAAAGAATCATTCGTTAACCACGAATTATAATTTCTATATACGCATGAAATACAAAAATTTGATAACACAAACAATTTAAGCATAAATTTTTTGGACTGAAAATTTATATTAATAAAAAAAGGAATCAATTTTATAAATTTTCACCACAAAAAATAATGTATATAATTTTTTTATGTAAATGAGAAGAATACAACCATAAATACAACCAAAAGTACTAGAAAAACTTGAATAAAAACTCACAGAAAGTAGATATTGAATTGAACTATTAAAATTTGGATCATAAAAATTTGAATTATATCTAAAATACCAAAAAAAAAATAAAATTATAAGCCTATTATACTAAAATGATAAATTAATGAAGCCCTCCAAAATTTGGGCTTAACCAAGTAGAGAATAATTTTGGACCTAACACAATTAAATATTAATTTGAACTTTTAAAATTTAGGTCTTAAAAATTTGGATCATATCTAAAATATATATTAAAAAAAATGAAGCCTATTATATTAAAGAAGTAAATATTTTTGGAGGCCCTCTAAAATTTGGGGCTCTAGGCAAGCACCTTAGCTACTCAGGGCTTACGCCTTCCCTGGTTCAAACTTATGTCTTCAGAATTTTGAACTATCCCTTGAGATTATCATTTGAACTACCCCATGAAATTATCATTTCCCGTAAGTTTTCCAAATGTTGTGGGATTCGTCAACTACTAGTGGGGGGATTTGGATTTCTTAACGTAATTGCTTCAATTTTTTTCAAACATATCATCCCAATATATATAAAATTCAGAGTATATACCCTATGATATTTGTATTGTGGCATTTTTTACTTAAGTGATAATTAGGTCGTGTCATTATATGTCATGCCATGTTCATATTTAATATTTTTCCGCAAAAGTGTTCCATGGTAGCATGCAGTATTAGTTCAGTTAGTGTTGGTGTGAGTTTGGATGAAAAATTGCCGGCCTCTATTATTTGATACCTTACATAACATAGTAGACAATATATCAGTTGAAAAACATTTGAAAGGAATATTTGTTATGGGCTAGATAGGGACATCTATTTCTATTTTGGGGCCAAAAAAAAAAAAGCATTTCCAATTGAGCCAAGGTGATTAATATTTTAGGCAAAATGGTGGTCGAGAAGTGCATAATACTGTATATATACACCGTACAATATGCCAAAAAATTGTCTTGTGTGCAATACTATAAAGTCATCTAGTCAAGGTTGCACAACTTTTATTTTTTTTGGATTCAATAGTCAAGGGTGTTTGAGTTAATTTACGCGCACCTCAACTAATTTATTCTCTGGTTCGATCAAAGATAAACTATTCACGCAAGGACTAAAGTATTCATGAATGATCAATCCCTCATAATTTGGCCGCAAAAATTTAATAAAAACATGTTTGATAAGGTGGGATTAAGTCATTCTGAAAATTATTAGGGTAAAAAATAAAAATTCTCCCTATACTAAGCATCGATCTCTCACTTCACCCCTCTACTTTTACGGGTTTAACTTAACCTCTCCAACTTCAAAAAAAACTGCAAATGTTAACAGATGGAATAGTTTGTACAAAAAGACTAAAAAATCCCTAATTGTAATCCAATTTTCTTTGTGATGTCATCGTTGTAGAACCCTAATCTTTAAAAAACAAAACATGTAACTAGCAAATGACTTGGTTAGGCTTATTTTTCTATGAGGATTTCATTGGTATGATTAGATTTAAGTTTCATGTTGTTTGTTGGCTCGAATTTGTGTTTGAAAATTAAAGTGATAATTGCATTTTCAAATGGGTTACATATCAAACAACATTTTCTTCCTCAATTGAGGCTTGGGTTGTGTTATAAAGTTGTAGTACAGTGCTTGAAAATCAAAACTTTAAAAAACTAATTAAATCTTCAAGTGGGGGGGGATTAGGTCTAGCTGATTTGGGATCAAGGAGTTAAAAAATGACCTTAAATTTGAGAAATCAAGTCGTTTGATGAGTCAAAAATGAATTTATAGGTTTGGAAAGAGGTGAAAAATTGAGGAAGATGAAGTGTAAATTTGGTAATTTAATTTAAATTTAGAAAAAAAAATTATTTATTTTATAATATGTGATTAATTAGCTCGTGTAACTACTGCACTATTATAATGAATGAAATCTGTTAGTTTTGCAATTTTTTCAAAGTTGGAGGGGTTAACTGAAATCTATAAAAATGGAGAGGGTGCAGTGAAATTGAGGCTTAGTATAGGGGGCTTTTTGTTTTTTACCCTAATTATTGCTTAAGATAATAAATTCTCACCTTCTTCAAACTTTAACACGAATAAGATATTAAGCATGTTTGAAGATAGCTTAAATAGGTAGTTTTTAAGAGTTTTGGAGTAAAATAAGTCAAGTTTGTTTGAATTTTGGTTTTTTTACCATCTTAAGTACTATCTTTTTCGACCTAAAGAGGCTTATTTAGGTTGATTTAAAATATTGATTTTATGAGCTTTTCTTCTGTTTTTTAGAGTTTTGTTGCGGATCTCAAATAAATTTTTTATTTATTATATTCATAAAATATTATTAATGACGTAAAAAAATTTAAAATTCATATTTTGTGAACTATTTATGCATAATTAGGGGTGTATATGGCCCGGGTTACCCATAAGTCTCGTCACTTGGCTAGAAAAAATAAGTGTGAAACTCGATAAGCTCGATAATTAGCCTGTCTGAGCCCGAACTCAATATCCTTAAAAAAAGGGCTTGAGTTTGCCTCTAAACCCATTACCCGACTAGAAACCCACCCGTCAAGCCCGCCTGCCAAGCCTAAACCCACCCATATAGTCCGCTTACCTTTCCTTTGAAAAAAAGTTATCCTTTTAGACGATTTAATATAAAACTTTAAAATAAGTCTCCCAATGTCAGAATTTGAAGTTTTAAAAATTTAGATATTATAAATAATCTATTATTTTATTTTTTATGCATTAAGTATACAAGTTTTAAAGGGTAGAGTAATGCAAATGATAAATAAGTGAGTAGGTATCAACCTAGTTGAGATGTATTCATTCTATTAGATATAGTTCATCCCCTAATTAAAAATAAAATTATTCATTATTTTATTTTTATCAATTTTGACACTATTTTTGATTTAAAAATATAATTTATAAAAATATTAAGTTGCAAAAATATTCATTATTTCTAATTGAAGTTGTATATAAAAAAACCCGCAAGCAGGCCTATCCAATAGGCTCGCGGGTTGGACTGTAGGTAACTTACCCCTACCTAAAGCTCGGCTCGGCCCACCCAATAACTCATTTGAATAAGGGCCTTGGCTTACACTACCCAGCCCCCGCTTAAAAGAAATTTTGCAGGCTTAGCTCGGCTCAGCCCGACCCATGGATTCCCCTATGCATAATCTAAATTATTTTGCCAAAAAAATTAGAAAGTTACTAAAAATAAACTTTTTCAATTTTTTAAGCTTTTTACAGAATATTTCAAATGATTT